AAGTGGTCAATCAGGTTAAAGATATTTGACAATTGGGGAGATGACTCCTTGCAAATAAGGATGTTCTAAAACTCAGAAAATCTTTTATTTCAATCACATGTTTGATTTTATGGGTTTGACAACCAAGATTGAATCAAGGTATGATAAATAATGCTAACAAAGAAGTCTATAGTTTGCCAATGGAGGTGAAAAAAAAGTCTTTATATTTTAGACGATTCAATACGTGTCATGCCATGCATATGTGGCTAGGAATATGCACATAAAAGGTGAAGTGTGGTCACCTAACGGTTGTGGAACAGTAAGTGAAAGGGGTTTGTGGTGTGCGCTTTTGGCAACAAAACTACTTGGAGGAGTGGCAGTTTTGTAATCACCTGAGTTCCTTGTAGCCCCTTGTGAAGTCTTGAGATTGAAGTTTGAGATTGGTAAGCATGTGTTCAGCAGACCTTTTGTGAGTTATTACTGCAGACTCGTGCATCCAATATGAGCCAGACTGTGTGTGGGAAGGCCTTTTTTCTCACTATCTAGATGATCACCTTAGATGGTTTGGGATCTTGAAAAGTAAGATTGAAACTATTTAGAGATTTAAGGAGTGACACACCCTAATGAGTAATCAAAAGGGGACCAAAAGATAAAAGGTTCAAAGCCCAACACCTTCAAAAGGCTAAAAAATGTTTTAGGAGGTCAATAATGGAGGTTTGCCCAGAAGAAGAAGGGAATACTAGTTGTGGAGAAACAAATATTCAGATGAGACTCTGGCGTAGAGGTTTTACACAAGTGGAAGTAGATTATAATGAAATCTGCTTACATGTGGTAAAAACACTCTTCAATAAGGATTTTGGTATTAAAATTTACCAATACAATCTTGTGTTGGAACAACTGGACGTGTAAGAGAACTTTTTTGGTGTGGGAACTCTTGGAGGAGACTGTTATATACAATAGCCAGAGGGGGTGTGTTGGAAGATCAAGGAAAGTTGTGTGTATTGAAGAAATTTTGTAATGCTGGGAAATAGACTCTATATAAGTGGTTTAGAATTCAATAACTTGCGCTAAGGAGACATGATTTCCAGTAGGAGTCACGTTTAGATACGCGTCATGTACGTATCCGTCAACAAGGCTCTTGAAGAAGTGGTTGGAAGGTATAGGACCGAGTCAAGCTTATATTGACCCTTTAGGTAGTAATTAAATTTTCATGTTACCTAAGCTCCTAACTCAAGGACCAATGGTAGAGAGATGGAGTACTAGTTTAATGCTAGTGGAGTAGGGGAATAATGTATGATGAGCTGTAGCTGGACCGGATCTTGGCACATGCTGTGATAGTCAGCACGTTTGTGGCAGATCTTAGACATGCTCATTGGGAGGCTTTTGAAGTGGGTGCTTAGGTACATGGGAATAATTGTATTTTCTGGTTTGGTATATAGATAGCCCACCATACCAAAAAATTGCTTTCTGGGTACTTTTTTACATTCTATGGAGTTGCAATTTGTTGAAAAGCCATTTTTCAATCTCTGGTGGCTTTATCTATTACTCAGGATGAGTATATCACACTTCAAAAGGGCTGAAGGAGGCATTGTGGTTGAAGGGGATGATAGTAGAGCTAAGTACTGTGCAAAAGTGTGACTATACATTGCTATAGTCAAAGTACCATCCATCTAGCGGATCATTTGATCTACCACAAGAGGATCAAACACATAAGTGCTAGACTGCACTTTATGATAGACCTAGTTGAGTTTCGAGAGGTCAGGATATGAACGCAGTATAGGAGAAGGATATGAAGGTAGTATTGGAGGAGAATTTTTCGGATGTGTTTATAAATTCTTTACTAAGATCGAGATTCAAAGTGTTCTGGAGTTGATTAATTTTATCTTTGAGGATAAAGGAAGTTGATGTTGAAGGTCTTCCATGATTTGGAGTCAAGGTAAAGAATTGTGATAATTGGTTCTCAAATCATGGGTTCGTGAAGAGCACAAAAGGTCGTCTACTATGCGAGTTGTCTAGTAGTGTTAAGTTTAAATAGACCATCTAATGCATATACTAATTGAATTTTTAGGCTTAGTTGTCTTAGTGGTTTTCTATTATTCCATTTCTGAGGTTCTCTCTCTCTCCTTCTTTCTCTCTCTCTGTGTATATATATATATATATATATATATATAGAATATAATGCTTTATATGTATGGTGTATATTATTATTTGAACCCAACATTATTCAACCATCCTTATGTGATTTCATAAACCATATGTTTCCTATGCAGGTCGTTGAGCGCATTAAAAAGTATTTTGATCTTCTGGGAGGTCCACCCACTTTCATCCAGGTTTTAAAGTTTTCTCTTACACACTTATTTTCAATACATAAATGGATGCATGGCTTTTGTGGTTTGGCTAACAGCAATGTTCAAATCTAGGGAACTCGATCTCATTTAAAGCTTTGATACTACCACCCGAAATTCAAAAGTTAAAAATACAAAACAACGAAAGGAAAATGAAGTTTAAACTCAAAATTATCATAGCTTAAATTGAAAGTATGAAAATATATATGTCACATTCTCCTCTAGATTTATTTCTAGACTGAACCATTGTTGCAGAGACATGTTTTAACTGATGAAAGACTAGACTAGTATTCACTGGTCGCTGCTACCTCTGTTATTTCATCAAATTCAAGTTGTTTGGTTTGGTGCTACTATGTCAGCATTTCATCAGAATTTCTTGGTTAACCAGAATTTTCTTGCATGACAGGCAATCATATGTAACTTATTCTTGTACCTAATTGGTGACGTTTCTGGTTTTACAGGCAGCTGTACCTCAGATAATTGCAAATACTGAAGAGACTTTCTTCAATAAAACAATTGACAATTTGAGGCATACTGCAGATATATGTTGTACAGAGATAAAGGATATTCCATGCATTGTTTGCCCTTACAGACCAGAAGGGTCCATGGCTATGATGGTGAGAAACTGAATATTAATAAATTGATTGTTCTTTGGGAAGAGGATAAATGCCTTAACAGTGGAACTCATTTATTATTTGTTCTTGAATGAAATGTAGGTGAAACTAAATCTTTCACTTCTAGAAGATATTAGTGATGATATAGACTTCTGTTTCAAACTTGCAAAAGAGGAATCTGTAATCATTCTTCCAGGTACTTTTGCAAATCCTTTATACAGAAAAATAAATTTAATCTTGAAAGGATTCAAATTTCAAAGTTTTTATCTAACTCATGAGTAAAGATAGAGTGAGACACATTTACATTTGACACACACAAGAGTAAAGTGATCATTAAAGAGTAAACTTTTGTATTTTAAAAAAAAAGAGAAAAAGAAAAGAAAAGATAGTATCAAATAAATGTAAGAAATTTATGTGTATCAAAATATCATTTTTCTTAAATCATTCTCATAAAACCAGTTTATAAGGAGAAAACAGTCTTCATTTATATTCAGTAAATTAATTTTCTCTTTGTGATGACTCTAAACAGACTTTGAAAAATTAATTTTGTAACAAAGAAAAGCATGAATTTTTTTTGCAGGAACTGCAGTTGGGCTAAAAGATTGGCTTCGTATTACCTTTGCTGCTGATCCATGTGCTCTTGGAGAGGGTATGAAAAGGATAAAGTCTTTCTGTCAAAGGCATGCAAGAAAATTGTAAAAGCATTAGTGAATCCACAAATAAATAAAATTATTAGACTAATGCTGGCCTTTTACTGCAACACTACACACGATTTGCAGATTGTATTTCAATATAGCATTCAGTCTCAGGAGATATATTGCAACATTACTAAAATACGGTATTCATATTTGTTAGATCCCAAAATATAGTATAAAACTATATAATAATCATCACATAGTTAATATGATAAATCAGTTAACAAAAGGAGTTAACAAAAGGAGTTAACAAAAGGGAGAAAGAGTATAAAGTCATCTTTTACCGTCATCCAAAGAAAACCATAATCATAACTTTATATATAACGCATCATAGTATCAAAACTATTTACAACACTGGTGTATCAAAAATCCACAAAGAAATTATAAACACTAAAATAGAATAGTCTAAAACACTACACATTTGCATCCCCTCCGTTTAAAACTTGTTCCACGGATACATCATCTAGCTCTATTCACACCCACCAGATGATCATCGCCACAGAAAATACACAAAGAACAAACAACAAGAAAACATGCAAAAAGGATAAGCTAGCTGAAAAAGAATCATTCATAATAATACAAACATAATATATATATACACGTTCAAACACACCACAAATTTCTCATTATTTCTCTTCCCACACACGGACTCAGGCTTGGCCAAACCTTTTAACCTCTAATATAACTGTCGAGCCATGATTAGTTCTGCACCTGTGTGGTGGAACAACTAACCCACTCAAAGTTGCCACACAAGGTTAATCCTTAAAACGCTCTTTGCCATCGTGAAGAAAGACCCCAGGCTAGGACCTCATGCTCCTCTCACGACATGACTCATCACTCTCTAATTGAGCACAAATGATAATTAGAGGTTCAGGATAACCATCGTATCAGCTTCTTATAACTTATACTAGTCCCTCTTGAAATTATCATAAGAAATTCCTCCTTGGAATTCTTTCCACAACCTGAAATCTCATATAAACAAATCTTGATATCCATATAACTCATCCATAATCGTACATAATTCCCAATTGAATCAAACATCCCTTAAAACCACATAAGATCAAAGAATAAAATAACACATCACAACTTGGACCAGTCGCTTAGCGCACACACTCGTTGAGCGACCACAGACTTCTTTCGCATAGCGACCCCATTCACTGTGCGAATCCCCTAACAGTAACCTCAGCTTCCCAACCACTCGCTTAGTGACCCATCTCGCTGGGCGAATAAAACTCCCAGTGGTACCAGACCCCAACCTCTCGCTCAACGACCCAACTCGTTGTGCGAAAGTCAAGACAATGGTCCAGACTCCCAACTCACTCGCTGAGCGCACCCATTCGCTGATCGAATAAAATTGACAGTGCTCCCAAACCTCAACCACTCGCTCAACGCACCTTCTCGATGTGCGAATCATCAAACAGTAAGCCAACCTCCACTCGCTCAGCGAGTCTGCATAATCTGCAGCACAAATTCTGCAGAATTCCCCAACCTACCCAGAATTTACCAATTCCAAAGATTTTGTCCTACTTCTAATCTTCCTAAATTATGTTATATACCTACTTAGACTTGAACAAGTGTTTCGAAACCTTATTACCATCATTCTAAAGTGTTTACTAATCAATTCAAGCTTCAAAAACTAACAATTCACAACTTATAGACGAAATATGAATTTATCCATTTTCAGCTCAAAAGTAAGAAAAATAGAGGTCAAGACAAGTCACAATTGACCTCATTACAGATCCCAACCATTCAGATTTTCTTCAACACACCCCATCAAAATATCACTACTCAAGTTCCCAATTTTCACACAAAACTCTTATAAGTCACCACCAACCACTACTCCCACATTCTCAAACAGATTTCTCTCTACTATAATACTTTTATACAATCATCCTTCACCAATTCAACCACACA